GAGGTTATTCAAAGCATTCGAGGTGGAAAATGATGAAAGCATCCTCATACACATTCAAGAAAAGGGTTGCGTTACACTTGAGGTCCGCTATCGTAGAAGCTGCTTCAAAGGATATAAAGGGTTTTTGACTCAAACTATGAGGAAATTTGTTGCTATAAAGAAACGAGCGCGAATTATTGTTTTTCAGAAAATCACTTCAGTTCTCGGACATGAAATTTGTGAATCATTGATTACATTTCATACGTCCACATTGTGAGACAACAAGCTCTTTCTATTGGAAAGGAAATAGAAAACATTTGAACTCGCAATTGAACATCCGGAGTTCATTTCCGCCTTAAGGCAGCTTAGATCTGAATTCATGATCAAAATACTCAACGTTGCCCTATTGGAGAAGTTTGTCTGTCATCTCTATGACCATCCGTCATCACCAGACGTCAACAAAGCCTGATACAAGGTCTTCTGTCTGGCCTACTCGTCTCCTACAGAGTAAAGTATACCACTAATCTCAGATGCCCTTCTTCGGCGTATTAGTAGAACTAATAAACAAGCATTCATTCTGAGACTCTCTTTCAGCAAATGCATCTTCACCTGTTGGATACAGTTGGAAAATAGAGGGAAACGGGTTGTCTTTTGTGTGGAAGACACCCAGCTCCGGATAGATTTTTGCAGGCTGTGATCTGCAACTATAAGCAATGAAAGTGGCGGGTTGTTTGTTTCGTGCTACGCATCTCTCCTACGCTAACCTGTTTAAATGCAAAAATTATAACAATGTTGGTGAAAAAGAAGTCAAAATTAAATTTGACCAATGTAACTCAGATGAAATAGATCGTTAAAGATCGTATTTAGTAAGTATAAGTCTTCAGATTTACTCAAAGGGTGTCCCTTTGTCTCGTGTTTACCTAGTCAAGTATACCTTGGTATTTTTCGTATTGTCATCTGGTTTGAATAACGTTTCATAATCTGTGAACGCTTTATAATGTGAATCCTTCAGTGCATTATTTTCTATTAATTTTAACCTTGTGTTTGGCCTTTAGTTCTAAGCCATAACAGACATAAATTAAGTTTTGTTAAAAAGCCACATTTAGGCGCCTTCTGTGTGACAGCCAAACATTCACAGTCCACAGAAAGTAATTAGTTCTAGCGGTATAGCAATTTTGCAGCGCCCCGAGATAATTTTCATGAACAAAATGGCATTTTCAAATTTTATGCTATATCATGATCCGTGTAACTAGATGATGGGAATTTTCCCAGATCGATAAAAAAAAGTAGTGACATCTAAAGTACCATGAAGTTTCAAAAGGCTGACTTGTTTAAGTTGAGAATTATTTAGAGGCAAACATGACCCCAAACTCAAACAAACGCTCTTTTTTTTACCTGACTGTGTCACATTCAAGAACGCCGTGACAGAAAACTGCAAGGAGAACTTTTTATTTAATCCAAAGTCAGGCGTATTATACGCCATGTAAAACTGCAAAGAAAAAAGTAGTTCCAGTTATTTTGCTACGCAAGTCGTTTCCTAGTCACACTTCTCATTCTTCACTGACGGCCCATAACTGTTAGATTATTTGTAATTCATTTGCATTGTCAGTAACACATATGTATCACATATATCTCAATCACTAATTCATAGCACAGTCGTTGAGAAGGGTTGTGTATTTCTGTGGTTGTGACGAGTCTATTTTTAGAAAAGCGCCGTATAGATTTATACCAATTCCCAAAATATATTAGTTTATAAGATCGATGAAGCCAACTGTTAAATGTCACAGATGAAAGATTTAATTACGGTTCACGTAAGCATAAAATATGGTCACTATTTTTTTCATAGAAAGGTTTTAAACTTTGTTATACTTGTTGAATGTAAAACATCTAAGGAAATTATGAAAGTATTTTATGAGTGAACAATTTACAAATCATTGCCTCGAAAGGAACTTTTAGTTGGTGTAATTCAGCAGCTTAATATGATTGTTTAGAAAACAGGAACAATGTAATCTAAGTCATTTCACATCGAGAAACGATAATACAAAAGAGTTTATAAAACATGTGGTTGTCCAAGTGTCGGGATGTGTATGGCATAATGATTATCGTGTTGTACTGCAGATCCGAGGGTACATGGCTCGCGTCCCTTTGCCACAAAATTGCGCCTTGCACTTTGTAGGTTTGTGGAGTTTGCCGAATAGTTCATCTGTAAATCAGTCCTTAACTCTCCGGACTTGCAATGCTAAAATCCGCTGTTAAATTTCTCGTGATTGATAGAGCGCATACTAGCCCATTGTGTAGCTTTGCGCTTACAAACCAATAACTTTGACAAATATCTGAAACAAAACAGCCAGGTGTTCACAACTGGTTTTGTATTTAGTTTAACACAAACATTTCTGTTTTATCAGACGTTGCAGTTCCAAGAGAATGTTGCCGAAGTAGCAAAATGAACCTTGGAAAAAAAATACAACTCGGAGTAAGTTCTAAAACTCCACATGAAGGCTTACAGAAATAGCTAAATAACTCTTGAAGAAAAGTCACCCAAATAATCAAAACTACTCTGGAATAAGATTATGGAACTAGCCCAACTACTTGAAAAAATAGAATTCTTAGGATATCCTGTGAAGCCCCTCGTGGAAATTAGTGGAAATGAAATACACATAAGGAATTGTCACAGTAGTGGTCGAAACAGTCCTGAAATACTCTCGAAAAATTATACACAACGCCCTGTATAACTTCTAACAAAAGCAACATTACAGCTTTTGAGGAAAGCTTGTGCAGGTAATCAAAACATCCTTACGTAAGGCAATCGCACTTGAAGAAATATTCCTGACTCATCCGAAACGTCCACGGAAGAAACCGAAATCTCCTTCGAAGGGTTGTCCAAGTCGCTGAAACTTCGGCTCTTTAAACAGTATATTTGACAAGAAAAAAAGTCTTGAGAAAACCGAACCCTTCGAAACTAATAATATTGTTCATTTAAGGGCAACATTGTGAGTCTATTACTTTTATTTTATTGATAACGTAAACCGAAGAGGGGTGAAAATCTTGAGTATGTTTACTATATTAATAAGAAAATCACATTAAACGATATTTTAAATAGCGTCCAATCATAAAAGTTGAGGTTTATGTGTGGTAGAGAAAACTGAAAAGGCTATTCTGTATAAAGGAGTACCGAGTTTTTTTGTTTTGTTCATGTTTACTGTCTGAAACATATGAAAACAGTTTGAAGTTGGCCATCCTGTGCAATAGGGTACCAAGTTTTTTATTGTGTACTGTACAAGTTTACTAATTCTAAATTTTAAAGATAATTCCTTCTAAGAATCCGAAAATGTTTCTTTTTGTAATTTTCATTATTCCTGGTATGAATCGAATTGCCATGCTTGACAACGATATGTAATGAAATACGGGTATTCTCATTTTGCGTTGGTGGGAAAATTACGCAGTAATGGAATATTTAGAGTTATTTAAGTTCCTACTCAAACACGCGATTTCTCTCTTATTTATTTATTTCTGAGTGGCTGAATATTTTCATCTCCATAATTTCCTACTCCAACGTGCAGATATTAGTTTTTCAAATTACATTTGCCGGATGCTGCATAACTTTTTCATCACTCTTCATGTTAACTCGTTTTCTGTGAAATAGCAACCACGGTTTCTGTTATAATCAGTGAGTAACTCGGATGCTTCCTTCTTCGTGTAGAAAGAAAGTTTTTTGATAATTCGCGAATTTCATTTTAATTGAAATCTAGATTTAATTGTTAAACAACCAGTTTACGTTTTAAAGTGAATTGTTATTATTATAACAGTTTCGTTCTACATAAATTTACTAAAACAAACGGCCTGGCATGAACAGGTGGTCAGGGCGATCGACTCGCAATCTGCGGGTCGTGGGTTCGAATCCCCGTCACACCAAACAGGCTCGTCCTTTCAGCCGTGGGGGTGTTATAAAGTGACGGTCAATCCCACTATTCGTTGGTAAAAGAGTAGCCCAAGAGTTGGC